TTCACCATGAGATTTTCTTGGGTTGTTGATCCGCGTGAAAAGAATTTCTCGTGGGATGTGCATCGTTGGTCGATTGATCGATTGACCCAATAAACACAAACAAACAGCTGGACAGTTAATCAAATCGATAACGAATCCACGAGGAGTTCATGTCACCCAATTCAATCTGTTACCGGTCTATAACATTCACAACATCCGGTTCGTTTTTCGAATCAAACCGATAAACATTAGAGAACACGTACCACACTCGCGATCGCTGTCACTGTCACCAATCCACACATACATCTTCACCAGTTGACTAACCCAATTTGGTTAACATATTCACGCATCAGCGAACGCATCATCCCGAACTGTTATCGGATACAAGCGAAACAGGCAGCCGTGTGTGGTGAAGAATAAACAAACCGCACTAGCCCCTTGTCATCCCCCTCACCCCGCCCCGCCCTGCTCCGCCCTGCCCCGCCCTACGCCCAGCAAGCTCCGTTCCACACAACCTCCTCTGTCTCAGGTTAAGTGACACCCGGTGTTATGGCACTTGAATGGTCGTGTCTGTGTGTGTGTGTGACCATGGGCACATTTGTGTGTGATCAATGCCTCGCCTCGCTCAGTTATTCAACTTGAATCCTCGAGAATTGCCTACGTATACCCTGTGTTTGCGCGTGTCGGTGGTCCGTCAGTCGCGCCTGGACCATATTGTGTCACAGCACGGAAGACCTATTTAAGAGCTTTCTCTCTCTCTCTCAACCACCTGCCCAACACTCCGATTGGCCAGTAGCACACACCACACGCACAGTATAATTGGAATACCGGCTGAGCCATTCTCGGTTCTGTGCCGACGACAGAGCCTACTGTCAAACATGACCAAATGTGTGTTTCTGCCCGCGATTTGGACAATCCTATTCACTTTATTCGGCCAATTAGTTACACAAGCTCAAACTAATTGCCCAACAGGATGTTCGTGCGTGGGTCAGACAATTTCATGTCAAAAATCTGGACTACGCTCGGTCCCGGTGTTCCCACCAATCGTGCCCGGACCGAATGGCGGCTCGTTGCAATTCCTCATGCTCAGCGGGAATCCGATGATCCGATTGGAACAGGGCTCATTTGAAGGGTTGGCCGATTTGGTCCGGATCGAGCTCACATTCAATCAATTGGTTTGGGTATCCAAACACGCGTTCACCGGTATCCCCAGTCTTCGCAGTTTATCACTGCGAGGTAATCGTATTGCCTATTTGCCTCACGATGTATTCACCCCAATATTCATGCTGGAAGATTTAGATCTGTCTCGGAATCAGCTTCGTAGTTTACCATTCTCCCTGGAGGGTTTGATCTATTTACGTCAGCTTTCCCTGTTCGGCAATCCATTGTATTGCCCTTGCGAGATCGTGGATTTTGCTCTATCCTTGAGACATCTGGAACCGGTTCGATCTCGAGTCACCTGTATTGGACCGATTGAGGTCGCGCATATGCAACCCATGGAATTGGGTCGCCGATTAGTCGCTGTGGTGGAAAACACTCGGCTCTTGGGTTATCAAGCAGCAAACGATACCGATCGGGATTTGATTGTTCGAACACACCCCTATGTGCCACGGGGTAGACAGCTTCGTTTGCCATGGCCCTGGCCCCATTGTCCAGTGCAAGATTTTGGCGGGTTCGAACCCAAACTGCTAATTGAATCTGACGAATCAGATGACAACAATGGATCGGGCGAATCCTTGCCGTCAAAATCCCGAGCTGAAGACCCGATATTATATGCGGAAGATCCTATTGAACTGGCCCAATGGCGTGATCGACCGCAGAATGTGGAAGTTGTGGCCGGTGAAGTGGCTCGATTCATTTGTGGTGCGGATGGGCATCGGAATTTGCAAATCACTTGGATTTTGCCGGTCAATGCGACCAAACATATTCGGTTGCATCGAAGACGTCAGGTATGTTCGGGGTATGTTACGCTTCGCGTATTTTTGGGTGGATTACCGTTCTCCGATGTTTGCTTGATCCCATGGCTCTCTGGCTTCGAAAGCGGTCACGTGAATTTGACTCAGAATTGATTTAGGAATCTCGCGGTTTCTCTCACCGCTGGGGGGTATTCACCTACTGGAAAAAAACCTAACCCGTTAGAAGCAATAGTGGGTTCTAGCAAATAAAAAACAAACAGGACACGGACTATCTTGCAACACGGAGTTAATGGATATTTTCGAAATCTTTCTATACAATCTTTCGGCCCAAAAAACCGCATACACACACACACGCACACAAGAGATGATTGATTTTTCAAGGAGAATAACAGCAAAACCGATTTGTTTTTACGCCTAACAACCGGTGATCGAACGTACTCTATTTCCGGTTACATTACTCATCTAGTCTTTGATAAAAGGTTGCATCTTGGTAGACCTGATGCAAAACAAAGTAACGATATATGAGAATATAAAGAAATTCCACTGGGGAACTGGATTAATGGGGCTGGTGCAGGAACCGTTTCATTCATTTTCAATTTGAGCCATATTTACAATGGTTATGATCCCGCAAGGCGGTGTCTGGAATGGATAATTTGATGTACATATCACAAGCTATCTCATTTTGAACATGTCATCAAAACCCCCTACAGCGGACACCGTAATGAATGAAACAATCGGTAGTTAATTATTTTGAGCACAGAAATTCGCTCTAATTAGTTTGGTTTAAATTTTGACCGACAAATAAAAGCCGCCAACCGCATTATTTCGCACACTACTTACAAATGTGAGTAGAACATCAAACACAATAATTGTTCCAATATGTACATTAGTCTATTGCCAGTAAATTTGTAATAAAAAAAAACTGCATTGACTTACTGTAGCAGGCATTGGTTGATTTAAATTTAAATGCGTTGTGGTTCCGTGTAAACTGATGCTAAATGTAAACTGACGAACAACTCAAGTTAGGTGGGAACCATTACTCACTAGGAGCATACTTCGTTTTGCACCCGGATCGGAGTGAATCTTCTTGATCCACCAGGGGTTGATATTTTCTATTGATCACACGCGAAAAGTCCTCGGCTTTCGCTGTGCCTGTGGAGTAACCGTTGAATGATCTTCAGGCATGCTAGAAACGTAAAAAGGGCTTCAATTGTCAGCAATAAATAAGCAATGGTTGAGGCCAACTTTGCTATCTTGCTCTCTCTCTCTCTTTCTAGTGCACACACGCTGGGAATCACAATCCAGTTATACAAATGACAAGAATATTGATTTTGAGGATGGACAGTAGAAAAAAGCTGCATAGTTTTTTCGATACCATTTACTCTGTGAGTGTTGATGACGTTCGAAGAACGACTAGAATTCAGGACTACTCTACTTGGTTTCTTAGATTACAGATTTATAGATTCTCAGACATTTGATTCTGCTCCTCACTGCTTTGATCTTCTTCGTCATTTGAAGACCTTCGGTTATTCTAGGCATTTATTAACTTGCCTTGCGGATTACTTCTCCGGGAGAACTCAATACGTCAAGCTAAAGTTTGAAAGAAATTCAAATCATTGGTGAACAAATCTGAGATAGTCCGAGATGCAGTCCCTTCCCTGACCCCGAATCAGTATCCCGGGAAAGTTGTTTTAAATACCTGGGGGATTTTCTTGATGCTAATCTTCACTGAACCTCTCACATTCAACAGATCGTCAGTAAGCTTCGACAACTTTCTTTTCATCGCCGTGAACTTCGTCAGTTTCATATTCAACAGGCAATTATTTCCAAATTCGTGTACCAGTGTGTTTTTCCCCGTTTTATTTATTTTTTGTTCACCTGTTATTTTTTTTCCAGTATTTTAAAGAAAGATTTTAAACTGTTTGGATGTGGACTGACCATCATTAGCCGTGTCTCTTCAATCCCGCTGGAGGAGTTGGTAACTAACTAACCTGTGTGAACATCATTTGAATGTGAAAAGTTTGCACACATAATCCTTATCGGATCCCAAACATCCGCTACACACATAGATGTAACTAACTTCCGGTTGTTCTCATCTGTCCCGTATAGATCCCAATATCGTTGTGTTCTCTCTCTCTCTCTCGAATAAACATACCTCGTCACTCTACGGTATCCTCTGTAGCAAGCGGTACAGAGTTTATTAACAGTTTGGGAATCGGGATCTTTTTTCTCCCGATCTCAAATTTGTTTTTTTTTTAAATTTGAACCGATCATCCTTCGGAGTTCACCTACACGCACAATATCCAGTTCATCGATTCAATTATACACTTGCGGAAGCACTAGACTCGATGTGCACACACACACAGACACACACACACTCTCTCTGTCATCAGAGCTCATTAGTAGTAGTTGGCACGATAGGACAGGTGGATATGTACAACTGCTGAGTTGTATTGAGAGAGCGAGACTCGAATTTTGTGCTTCCGCCAGTATATAACTGAATCGATCAAATGAGGATAATGCGTGAAGATGAACTCCGAACAATAACCAATTCAAATCAATCAATATCAATTATCCCACACTACTACACCAAATAACTGTGAGTTTATTGAGAATTGTATATTTCTAACTGAAAAATGTAGGCTTTATTACAATAACAATAACAGTCACGTTATCAAGTTTTATTTATCACGGGGTGGTGCGAAGGATGATAGAAACGGTACACGAGTGAAGTAACTAAAAGATGCTTCGCAGAAACAAATGATCAAACTATGTAGGGGAGGGGGGGGTTACAGAAAGAATTGAAACTGAACAAAATGACATAACTGATCGATCTACAGCTACAATTTATTCGCACATGTTGTCATTTCAAAATCCATCTGTATGCATATCTATAGGTTTGTTCAACTTAGTGCGAGTACGGGGTAAAAATTCGTTTTGTTGTTCATTTGTTTCATGTATGAAATATACGAAACTGATTTTTGGAAATAGATTGGGCTCGTGGCAAGTAGGGTAACTTGTGGCTAAAATAGTACCACCACGAGAAATTTGACAGGTACTGGTCAAGTGATCGGTGCATAACATGTAACTCAAGCTCTCCGTTCGATATGATTTTGATCATCTCATACCTAATATATGAAGCGAATGAATAGCACTTAACTCAAAAAATATTCAGATGATTGCCTTGACATTGTTGAACAATATTTCAATACCATGAGTGTTGATGGACTTGCCTCAACTTAGAAATTAGAACCACAAATTGGACAAACACAAATTTTACGTTGAAATTATGATTCGAACTCACGCAAGAACGCTGTCTACGATTTTGTACAGCTGATTGGTCTACGAGGCCACAACGATAGCACAGATTTTTTCACATTCTACCTGTGAAGTCCGGTGCTCGCGATCTCCCGTTTGGTCAAATGGATTCGCACATTCCTCATGAGAACCAACGAGGTCGAAACAACTGTCCACATGTGCTTTCTAGCTGTTTAGCTCAGGCATCATTTAGGCGACGAATTTATCATCTAAATGATGTGATTATTACGCTTTCCATGCCAGGTTCGAAGATGAAATTAATCCCAAACAATTTATGTTGTCAATTTTCTCTTTCACAAAACAATTGTTTGGTTTTTATGGTTAAGTATTTTAACATATTGAAAATATTGTGCCACTTATTGTGATGTTCTATTGGCATGACTACTACAAATCACTGCATTCACGAGCTTGTTCGTCACTCTGTCGTTTTCTTATCTTTCTGTGATAATTTGAATAGTATTGAATATTAAAATACGAGAGCCTGTACTGTAATACTCAGAACTGCATTGGCTCCCGAACCCGAACTACGGACACCAATGAAATACACGAGGAATTGATAGTAGCAAATGCTTATGTTTATTCATAGAATTAGGGCATGTTTTATAGAACGTGATAGTCCATATGACTGGTTGAACGACTGTCGTCCAATCACTTAACCGTCTGCGCAGACGCATCACATATACTAACCCTGACGTAATGTTCGCCCGGTGTACCATTGGCCGAGCTTCCTGAACGATGATTGGATGACATAAAGCTGTACCTGGTCGTACTTGGAATGCGGTCACGCATGTTTGGATTAACACATTTTAACATTATTTACGACGAAATTTTCCGGGTGTCATCAAATCAAGCAATGGTTTTATACACCCCGAGAGGTGGATATTCAGCAATGACATAACCATAGTGTGTCAACAAAAGGTGAAACAAAAAACATTATAATGCATCAATGAAAGGACGTGTGAAAGGATAGCAACGTCAGAAACCAATGGCATACTCGGATGTTTATGATTGATTAAGTTTCGCGTTTGGTGCTGATTTCTGCAACGAGTTCTGTTAGAAAGCTGGCGAGATAAGGGACAATAGACCGCCTGTAAGCTTCAGTGCGTGTCTTTATAAGTTTGTGAGTGGAACGGGTGGATGAGTGAGAAAGGCACTGACTGAGGGCGAAATAAAGAGGATGAGGGATGTCAGATAAAATCTTGTTGGAGTATGTTTTACAGGGCATACT